CTCTCTCTCTCTCTCTCTCTCTCTCTCTCTCTCTCTCTCTCTCTCTCTCTGTATTTGTATGTGTGCAATTGTGCATATGCGCATGTGTGTGAAGGTCTCCTTCCACCATGTAGGGGTAAGGGCAAATGCCTTTACCCACTGAGCCATCTCAATACCCTATACCTTATTATTATTTCTGAGACAGGTCTCTTACTGAATCTGCAGCTGATCTGTCCATTTAGGTTGTTTGTGGTGGGCTCTAGGGATCTGCACACTCAGCACCCAGCACTGGGGTCACAGGTGCGTGTCTCCACACCTGGCTTTTTATGTGGGTCCTGTGCTTGATGAGCAGCGTGTTACAGTCTCAGCTACCTCCCCAGTCCTTCAGCACTTACATTTCAGCATCTGTTTTCTACTAAACCTCTCTGATCTGAAAGGCAATCAGCGATTTATTTCTTGGACACAGATACCTAAACACAGCGACCAGCTTCTGTTCTAGATGGTGGGATGAACCAGATAGCCTGAGAGGTGGCTCTTCATTGATGTCCAAATACAGCAGGTTCAGAGTGGAGAGAGAATGACAATGAGAAGGAAAGAGATAAGTGGGAAGTGAAGGTCATTGCAAACATGGATAAGGTCAGTGAAGGTGAGCCCAGCACAGGATGGGCCTTTAGCCAAAGCCAGCCCAGCCTCTGCTTTTTACAAAGTTTCATAGGAGCACAGTCCTGCTCACTTGCTGATATATTCTCCATGGCTGCTCTGGTATTATAGTGGATGTCTGAGTGGAACCAGAAACAGCATTTTTTCCTGAAAAGCTGAAAATATTCCCTACGTTTCATTTATGGGAAGTGTTCGCTCTGCTCTGGCTTGGAGAGCCATCTGGGATAGCCAGGGGAAGACTTTCCTGAGGAGCTGTCATCTGAATGAAGTACTGATGGATGTGTATAGGGTAGAGGGGACAGCAAATGTGACGCCTCCGTACCAAATCACACAAGTAGTGAAGTTGGAACCAGAACGTGAATTCAAGTTTGTTGGCCACAAAGCCTGTGGAGCGGTCAGCGCTGGGCTGCCAAGTAGACTGCTGTGGCCTCTGGAGAAGCTGCAGGTTCCTGCTTCCTGGCAGCCTGGTCCAAAGCATGGTGAACTCAGTACTGCAAAGTGGTCCTTGGAAACCTGCAATGGGCCAGAGTGGGCTAGGCTACCCTTCTAAAGGCTCTGTCTGCTTGATCACCTCGTGGATGCCAGCCTTTTTGCCTGCGGGACCTAGTTGGAATGACTGGTCTCAGTACCCAAGTCCCATATACATGTTGTGTAGCTTCTGACTTATGCCCCAGTTTTCTCTGATGGCTCCTCTCATCTTACCAGTGAGCCTTCACCTCCATACTGTGCCTCCTGTGTAACTCGGAGGGCAATACATTGAGCATAATGTTCTGTCCAAGGTGCTGACGCTAAGTTCTGCACTATTATTGTTGGCTTTTATTAGTTAATGATCCTCTAACTCAAAACAAAAACAACCAACCAACCAAACCAACCAAACCAACCAACCAACCAACCAACCAACCAACCAACCAACCAAACCTATAGAGCTTGTTTTTATCTTGTTCATTTTATAGGTGAGGAAATAGATGCTATAGTCAGTTCAATCCCGAGTGGGCTGGCTGCAAAGCCATGCAGTCCACCATGATGCTCTATGCAAATTCAATAATGAGCTCAGAGCTAAAGTGAGGTTGCTATCCTTCCATCTTGGTACCAGTATTTTGAAACCTTGTTGTTCCCATATGACAAGTGTGGGCATTCAACCTGGCACCAGTTAGTTAGATCTTCAGGAGGCTGGCTACAAGTTCACATAATCTGTAATCAAAGCAAGGGGCACACAAGAGGACTTTGAATCTCCCTGGGGCTAAAAGAAGGAACATGGATATTGTAAGCATTTGGGGGTGAAGGAGACAAACAAGGTGTTTCCTATTTGAAGAGGATCTTATTCTTGGTCAAATGAAAGTTCAACAAGTCAGGTTTTGGCCATAGCCAGGATATTGGAAGACAGTGTTGGTCTATGTGCTGGGAGAAAGGGGCTTTCTGCCTTTGCTGCATGTCCTAATTTCTCTGAGTCGATTTGTGCTTCTACTCTGCAGAGGTAGGGGCAGGTGATTGAGAGAAGCCAAGCTGACAAATGGTGGGGCAATTCAAAGCAAGAGGAACAGCTAACAGACATTGAAATGTTGGGAGCAAAATACCGTGGTTGATGCAGGAAAAAAAAAAGCCATACCACTTTATGAGAAATGAGGTTAACGTGGGAAATGGCATTACAGCATCAGCTCGGATGCTTGCCTCCATAATTAAATTTTCCTCAATTCCACCTCATCAGATTTCTTAGATTACCAGGGACGCATCAATAGTAAATTACTCAAGATGAATCATTTCACAAATTGCATTACTCCCACCTCAGTGTTCCTTGTCTCATTAACAAATACAATTACTGCCAACAGGGGACCTGCTTCCCTGAGGGAATTTCTGACCCAAGGTCTTTCAGGGGATGCTGGGAGCAACTCCCACCTCCCTGGAAATCACAGAAGAAAATACTGGAGAGATCATGACCACTAGCAGGATCCTGTGCTCCTTTCTTGGAGTGGGTGGATTTAGAGCATCCTTTGTGCTGTCCCACAGCTGTGTCTGATGCAGGGAGAACACGTGGCTCCAGTCCCTCTTCTTCACATTTGGCTTTTAGGTCTTTAAGGATGTGAAAAGATGCCCACGAAGGGACACTTGAAGACATTAAGTGGGTGGGATATGTCTTGGCTAATTCTGGAGCAGAGGCTTAGAGTTTCAGAAGACACCATGTGTCTAGGTATTGGCTTGCTCAGCACAAAGACCTAGCAGAAGCTGCCAGGATTCATGCCAAGACTCTATTTTCAGGATTGTAGGCACCCATCCCACATCTATGTCTTCCTGGCCCGTGTTATCAGTATGGCACTTGGTATCTGCCAAGTGGGAATGCTTCCCAATTATCAGGACTGTCATGTGTATCTAGGTCTTGGGCTTGTGTTGTGTAACATACAGATGGACAGCCCAGACGCTGTATCTCAGGGAAGTTCCTGAGGAAAACTGTGTGTGTGCTGGTCAGGTCCATGTAGCTTTTCTTGCCATCATCTCTAAAGCAACATGCCACAGCTGTGTGTATGCATTCATATTGTATTAGGCATTATGAGCCATTTGGAGATGATTTACAGTGAATGGGAGAATGGCATAGGTTATATGTAAATACTATGCTCTTAAGGGACTGATACATCTGCAGTGTTTTATAATCAAGAAAGAATCTGGAACCAATTCTCTATAGGCACCAAGGGGAGGTTGTATTAGATCCTGTTTCTATGAGTCTGTCTGGGAATGGGAACATACAGTCTTATGCTCCAGAATCTTCCTTTTAGCACTTTCTGCAACAAAGCCATCACCAAACAACAGAAGGTACTGTGTCCAGTAAGGAACAGCCTGTGGCTTCTAAATGGTGGAATGTCTTTGGCTGGCAGTTTACACACACTGACTTAGAAAGCTACAAAAGCCCATTTGGTACAGAATGTGCCATGGCATCCTAACTGTGATTCTGTGCTTTAAGGCACATGCTTGGTCTTATGATTTAAAACATTGCCAAAGGTGTTAGGAAGATGTGTTTAGGCAGGCTGTCTACAGTGGTAACCCCCGAAGGGTAAGAATTTAGCTAAAACAGATTTTATTGACAAACGAAAGTCTATAAAAAATAGAAATCTAAGTGTAACTCCTTTGCCTGTAATAAAAACAAGTTAGCCTTTAGGGGCTCAGTTTCCCTTTCTGTGGTCTCTGTGCTAACAGGAAGAAGCAAAGGCCAGAAGTGTATGTCAGCAGTCTCTTCTTTCTCTTAGCTTCCTGCTCACACATGAATCCCGAAATAGTTAAAATATTGTTGACTTTTCCTGGTTTGGAAACTTGAATGAAGTAATCCTAAGCATGCTTGTTCTGTGATCAGTTTTCCTCATCCAGTGTGTTTTACAGCTGGATGGAACTGGTCTTTACTGCTGTCTCTACTACACAGCACTACTCGACTGTGTAAACCAAACACACGCTGTGCTTTTGAGTGGGTGACTCATAGCTTGTTTGTGGTCTTACGTTGTTATGAACAATTCTGCTACAATTCTTGCCTCTGTCTCTTCCCAGGCCTACTCCTGAGTGTAGCACTTCTGTGTAGCATGTGTGTGTATGTGGACCATGAGGAGAAGGGGTCATCCATTCCACAAACTCAGCCTGCATACTCAGCTCTCAGGAGCCTCGGATAAATGTCCATGCATCTCTGAGCTGCCCTGTGGCACCGTCTGACTGCCACAGGCACGAATTTATTTCCCACTCTGGAACAATTTTTTTTTCTCTTGTAATTTTCATTATTACCTCTCATTATTAACAAGGGCAAGGTTTTTATTATTATTATTATACATATGTGGGGAATTCATTTTTCCTTTCTTTTTTCTTGTTTTTTTCTTCCTTATTTCTTTCTTTTTCCTTTCTTTTCTCTTTTATAGCTGCCAATGGCAATCATCATCTCCAGGAGATAAATGGTTTTGATTTCTAAGCCACACTGTCTCTGTCCTAACTGTTGGAGTCTGCCACTAAAGCTTCAAAGCAGACATGTGTCCACAAGTGCCCACGGCCATGTTCCCTGTAAGATTTTTGTTTGTTTGTTTGATTTTTGGTTTTTGTTTTGCTTTGTTTTTTAATGAAGACCAGAAATGGCCATAGTCAACTGGGCTCATAGTTTTCTAAACTCTTATTTATGTGATTTTTTTTTGGTTTATTTTGGGGAGCAAATAATCTCCCACCAGTGTGTGGTTTGTCCTTTTTACTTAGGGTATCACATATTCTCTGAGCAGCATTCCATTAGTAATTATCATTTTCCAAACAGCCAAGAAGCCATGCTAAAACTCACTGTGTGCCTAGGATTAGTCCCCAGCTTGTCTTAAATATGAACAGAGCCTTGTGGCAGTCCAGTGGGCCCACAGCTGATAAACACCCACACAGATGGCATTGCCTCTGTGTACAAGGCGGAAATGAGCCAGCTCTATAGGGTAAATAAGTAGGAAAAAAACCCAAATAGGAAAGCTTTGCTCTCTGCAAGGCAGCCTCATGTACCATGTTGGGCATAGGATCCCAGGGCTCTATGGGGATGAACTCTTTCCTCCTCGGGGACTCTGAGAGCACTCACCTGGTTTGATGGGCTGCTTGTTGGAGAAGGTCAGAGGTGCGACAAGGAATTTGGTCTCTGCAACCGGCACCCAGTGATGGAGAATCTTCACTGTCCAGACCCCAGGCCTCAGAGGCAGATTCAAAGGGGGTTTGTAGTGTGTGAATTCTGCAGTGGACTCAATCAGGATGTCATAGGTGGCTGCGATGACGTTGACAGGATCCACCCAAATAACAGTCACGGTCACATTGGGTCCCTTTCCCCATTTCTGCATCCCCACTGGCTCATCCATGGGCCCCAAAAGACCACCAAAGTTCCGGAACAGTCTCTCCTTGGCATCCCAGTCAGTGCCAACCTGAAACAAGAGAATAAATCCTCAAACCAGAGTCCTAGGAAAGTCTAAGATCTTGCTTGGGTGGTTGCATATACCCATTTCGCCCATGAGGAGACTGGGGCTCCAAGTCACCTAGGACTCATGTTACACAGCTGGTAAGAAGAAGACATGGGAGTCCTGACACGATTGGGAATCTAACTCAAAAGTCATCCATTAAACCAGCATCCCTCTGTGCCAAAGTCATGCTGTGTGCTTTGACTCAAAAATTTCTAAACCTTTGTATTGAATGCAAGTATGAATGAACACCACCCTACACACCATTCCAAACAACAACAACTTGCCACTTACCTGGTGAGGCTGGGCTCTTCTTGGTCCTCTAGTTCTATCAAATAGCACTCTGAATTTTGTGTGCTCCTTCTGAATAAGGATGGGAGACTTGGCTTTGGAGCAACCCAACAGATGCTTGGAAACAGAGCCCAGGAACTCGTACCACTGTAGCATGGAGATCCAGCTTTGGCTTCTCCAAAGCATTCTGCTCTGGACTACAGTGATGGGGCATGTCCCACATCTACCCTTCACCCACACCAGCTGGGTAGCTGAGTGGCAAGTCCCTTGGTTTTACTCCTTCCACTTTGGCACCCTTAAGCTACTCTGCATTTGGGAATCCAGAGTGGTCACATTGTGCTTCATTGCTCAGGGCTTCTTACTGTCCCTGGGTCTAAGCCAACCCATCACTATGGTCCTCAGGCTTTTCTTCATTCCATCACCACCTACTTATCCTGCTCCATGTGCTCCTTCTTTCAGTCATTCTAACTTATCAGGCCACACCCTCCCTGTCCTGAACCATGTTTCCTGCCCGGAATCTCCTACCTCCTCACACCTTATTTGAAAGGTCTCCTTTGGGCTATCTGAAACCTCAACATACCCCTTTCCTTCACCATAATGTAGGCCCTGTGAGAAGCACCTGCTCTGTGTGAATCTCAACTCTTTCATGGTTACCACAAAAGGGACAAGCACATAGTAGGTGATCAGGCAATGTTTTCCCAATAAGTAAGTGAATTGCTTGACAAAAAAAGTGAATTAGCCACACAGAACCTTGGTACTGAGGTATGTTGAGATGAGGAGGTCTTTTTACTAAAAAGAAGGGGGGCCAGATGCTCTCCAAGAGGGGTGACTTCTGAAGTCAAGCACATAAGCATGTCAGTGGCAGAAACTGAACACCACATAAAGCTGGTGTTGTGTGTGTGAGTGTGTGTGTGTGTGTGTGTGTGTGTGCAGGTTAAGGTGACAGAGTGGCTGTACAACTCTGGAGAAGCTTCTGTATATACGCAACAAATGGTAGCTGATTTTCTTTCTCCATATTCTTGTTTGGAATTACCATGCATACTCTTTACAGTTCCATAGTCAACAATGAAGGCTCACATGAGTCAGGCATGAGGTGAAGTATCTGGTGTACCTCCCTGCTCATGTGATATTCTCATCTGGGAAGGGGACTTTGTCACTATTCTCAGTGTACAGATGAAACTGATGTTCAGAGTTAGTAACTTGCTGTGGAAGTCCAGGAACACTATTAATAGTAGTCATTTACTTGTCTGTCTGTCCATCCATCCATCCATCTCCTGTCAATATGTGCTACCTATTAATTATTTATTTCACAGTATCTATTTCTCATGGAACAACTTCTGATGTATATAATATCTGTGTATCATCAACCAGGAAATCCATCCATCCACCCATCCATCCATCCATCCATCCATCCATCCATCCATCCATCCACCTACCTACCTGGATAGCTAGCTATCTTGAAGTTCAACACATATTTAATGATCAGGGTCAAGCAGATGGACTTCTCTGTATACCCATACTCTGGACACCTGCCCTTGCAACATTACTAACAAAAAGGAAGAATGGTTACAACACCATGCTGAGGTCATACAGAATAAATTCATAACTGATCAGGGAACTCTCTAGAGTATTGTTCTTGTGTTCCCTAAAGGAATGGAGGTGGGCAGTTACCTTGAAATTGTATTTTCAAACAGAGTCACTTGAGCTGGAAAGTATAAATCATCTTCCAAAAAATAGGGTCTTCTCTTAAACCGAGGAGCATGAAGAGTGTCCCCTGCCCCCTGCCCAAAGCATGAGGAAAGGAGATCACCCTCACATAGAGTCCCCTTTCTGTCATATCTGTTGTCTTTCACTTGGCCTTAGTGTGAGAGTCTACAACCATTCATTGTAAAATGAGCAATTGTAGAAGTTTAAATAAATGTTTAAGTCTACCATGCTGCTCTCCAGGCCCCAACCCTGTCGTCTTCAACCAAGACCTCCACCAGTCTCCAGCTCATTCACCATGACCTCCACACTGGCCTTGGTCATCATCTCATTCCATGTCCAGTCTCAATAGCCTTGCTTCTTCAGCATGCCAAGCTCCTTCCCAGAATCTCAGGACATCTGTCAATGATGTTTTCCACTCAGAATGTTGTAGATCTTCCCATGGGTGAGGTGGCAGTTTTACAAGTTTCAGCTTCAAACCTGGGCTCTTTTAAGAAGTCTTGAAGAAGAAGAAGAAGAAGGAGGAGGAGGAAGAGGAGGAGGAGGAGGAGGAGGAGGAGGAGGAGGAAAAAGGGACCATCTGATCACCAGCCTATTGAGCCTGAGCAAGCACAGGAATGAACTTCTTTTTTTTTTCTGCAATATTTGTCATTAGCTGAACTGGTTTTTCGTCACTCACTACTTGTCTGCCAGTCCCAGCAGAATTCAGTCTCATTACAAGAGACACCTGGTCTGGTTCACTGCTGTCTCTCATGAATCTAGCATATTGTGTGTCCTCAGTGAGCATTCCTTTCTCCAATCAATGGTATGGGCTATCATGCTAGATAAATCTAAGTTGACCATCTGTTACTTTGTAAGATTCTGAGACCACGCTAATATCAAGCGTATCCTTAACAGTTTGTAAGTGGCTCCGTAGGTCTTTCTACCTTCTCTGTATCTTTGTCATTAACTAAGCATGTCTAGAAAAATTCTACATACAAGGTTAGGACCTCTGTTTCCTGAATCTGCGTTGCTGATGGAGGTCTTGGTTGTCCTCTTACAAGGACTGCAGGACCCATAGTGAAAATATTCACACATTACTAGCCATGCTGTGGCCAACATCTCTTGTCACTGCCAGAGGTACCCAGTGACCTACCAGCAGGCTGATAAACAGGGAAAGGCCAGACACAAGGCATTCATCTCTTTAATGGGACATTAACGTCTTCAATGGGCTGCTTGGGCCCCTAGAACAGAATCCAACTGGAGCAACATCTAATTGCCCTGCTGACTCTAGTAATTTATGGAGCTGGCTGCCATAGCAGCTCAGAGCCAGTCAATCCCCATGGAACCTTTTTTTAAAACACGGGTTTACAAGAATCTCACCCATGTTTGTTTGACAGGGGGAATATATTTAGTCATGGGAAAGAACAGAGAGACAGGCCTTCAGGGAGTGGAATGGAGAAGGACCAGCAAGGACATGTGAGCAGGTGCAGTTTCTCTCTCCAGACTCCTAGGCCCTCAAGTTCCTGCATATCAAGTCACTCTTCATCCTTGACCTGGCACTCAAACTCATTTGTCACAATGCCCAAGCTGAATCACACTTCCTCTTTCTTCCAGCATTTCCCAGCCCCAGGGGCAGTCACGTTTATTCAACAGTATTCAGCATCCACTAACGGTGTGGCACTTTTACTAATGATAGTGTGCAGATGATGCAGCAGTGAGTGATAGACAGAGGTCCAGTTTTCTAGTGTATAAGCAAGACATGATCACAAATCATCAAGATAACATTAGAAGGTAAATTCTAAAAGATACGATTAAGGAAGTAGCAGGTGCATAATGTCACTACTGAGACACAGGGTGGGATGGGAGCAGCCAGGGGAGGCATCTTCAAGGTGCCTCTTTGGATTTAGATCAGAATGACTAAAAAATAAAAGACTGCAAAACATAGACAACTTGTGAGAAAGCACTCTCAGTATCGGGACATAACAAGCTTGAGTCAAGGACATCTTGTTTAACAAAGATACAGGAACTGTGAGCAAGAGACAGCGTGGTATTGGACAAGGCTAGAAAGTCAAACAGTAACCAGATCATGTGGGGCCTTCTGGGCCTGGGAAGCAGGGATGAGGAAACAAGGATGGACCAGGAAGCTTTCTCCCAAAACAAACATGTCTAAAAGTTGATGTTATTGTGAGTAGAGGGAACAATACTCTATGAATCTATACATTGCGTGCTAGCCCACTCACCCATCTCTGGACACTTCTGTCTACTCATCTACCCCTCTATCCATCCACCCATTCACTATCCAACCATATACTTCTGTATATCTGCCCATATATCTATCTATTATTCCACCTGTCATATCCATCCATCCATCCATCCACCCATCCATCCATCCCTCCACCCATCCATCCATCCACCCATCCATCCATCCATCATTAATCCATCCATCCATCATTAATCCATCCATAATCAATCCATCTTGTTGCCTACATGTACATCCATGTACATTTACACGTCTGTCTATTTGTTATCCATCGGTCCTTTTATGAATGTGTATGTCCATCCACCCACCCATCTCCATCATTATCCATCCCACTGCCTATATTTCCAATCCATTATCTGTCTGCCCATCTGTCATCCATCAGCCCATCTGTCAATTAACACACCCACTTATACTCCCATGCCCCCATCCATTTGTCCGACAGTTTATCTAATTACCAATCAGCTCCATCTCTCCATCTTTCTATTCATTCATTTACAAGGCCACCAGCCCACCTACTCCTAAAGGATAGGAGCTAGCCCCCGTGTTAGGAACAAAGGAAAAATAACAGCACAAAATGAGGCATGAATTTTGTGGCCAGTGGGATATGTAATGTATTCTGTTATTTTTCATGTCTTAGTAGTGTCTTAGGAGTTATTCAGAAAATAATTGGATGTCCGTAAGCCTCACTTACCCAATCCATAAAATGGTACTAATGCCCTGACTTTATGAGAAAGTTGTCTTGTTACTGGTCCATTCCTAAAACAGGCTTAGAAAAAAATCAATGATAGAGAAGCAAAATTAAGAGAAGAAATTTTACCCCAAACAATAGACTATAGACTAAGCTGCTTCTGTTCAAAGATGTTGATACTTCACTACATCTCTGTTTGCATTGTTTATGATGCTGGTTCCAGTACATAGAAAAACTGGAAAATTGTCTCCAGGAACAGAATATGCTCATCTTTAGGGCTCTGCATATCCCTTCTTTCTCTATTTCCAGCCCTAAGTGTCAGGAGAGGGCACAGAGCCTGGCAAGAGAGCTAGCTGCGAGAGACAGTTACGACGGACACTGTTTGGCCTCTTACCTCAGAAAACTGAAGCCTCCCAAAGTCACTGGGGGGACTTGCGATCTTGAAGACTTTCTTTGGCATCATCCATGTCTCCAGTGTCTCCAGTTTGCTCACAGCAAGGTTGGTCACATGGTGCTTGATCAGAAAGCCCTGGAAGCGGTCAGCAAGGAAGTAGAGATGGACAGATGCTGGATGGCCCATTGGGTAGTACCTGAGGACAGGGGACCAGGCTATGAGGTGTGTAGTGTTATCATGAGCCTCCCACACTCCATGGTGGTCTAGTTCCTAGAATAGCCCCAATTTAGCCTACCATAATCTGCATCAGTCTGAAAGCTGCTATCCATAAACTTAGGGTCTTAATGACTGCAAATCGATACATTTTTCACAAGAGTGATAAATGTAAAACATGCTGACTATAGGAAAGTACAATCAAGAAAAATCACTGATTTTGATGCCTGTTCCCCTATGTTATCTATATAACACCAATTCACAGATATCTACTGAGTCCTCTGGTACTGGGTACCAGTGAGCGAAATGATGTCTGGATACTTCTGCTGGTGCCTTTTCCTGTAGCCTCATTTTCTACGCGTGTATTTTCATACATGTTACCAAGTGGGCTGACTAACACTGTGTGTGTGTGTGTGTGCACATGTACATGCATGTGGAAGCTAACTGAAACCATAGATGTCATTACTTAGGCGTCTTAAACCTTGTTTTAGAGATAGGTTCTATCACTTGACTTTGTCAAGTGGGCTAGACTAGCTGGCCAGTGAGCCCAAGGGTCCTGCCTTTTTCTACCTCCTTAGTGCTAGGATAACAAAACACCTGCCACCATGCCTAGCTTTTTAAATGTGGGTTCTGGGGAACATGTTCTCATACTCATGTGGCAGATACTTTACTGACAGAACTATCTCCCCAGCCCCATGAATATTGTGTATCTGGAATTGTAACACATATGTTAGGCTTTTGATCTATTGGACTTTCTGCACATGCTCACATGTCTCTGAAAATAAGAAAATTGTGTGTGTGTGTGTGTGTGTGTGCAGATGAGAGTATGCCATTGTACTTTATAGAAGCAGTGATCTATTGATGGGTAATAATATTGTAACATATCTGTTATTCTTTTGGAATTGATGTTCATTCACCACCCCTACTCCACACACACCTGTAAAATTCTTTAAATCTGGTATCTAAGTTTGTCAGGAATACTGATTTATCTTCTTGCTGTTCTCCTCAGGTGGGTGTCGATGAACCCACACTGTTTTTCTTTTTCTAAAAATTACTGCCAACACACACACACTTAGAAACACCCAGCCTCTCATATGAAGCTTGCTTTAAGTTGTACGTCTCTGGTCCGCACAGGTTGGCTGGCTAGGTAGGGCCAGAAAACTTAGCATGGAAGAGGGGGAAGTGGGCAGCAGAAAGCAGAAGGGAAGATGGAATAAAAAGCTGCTGCTTCTGCAGTGTGTAAATTGCACAGCACTAAGAGGCTGCGGTGGTTCCCTAATAACAGCGTTCCACAAATCACGGTCCCCTCTCTGCTAACTGCAGGCTTCCCTCTGCTTCCGATCTGGAGTTTTAAGTCTTTATGCCCAATTAGAATGGCTGGGGAGGCCTCCTTCCTGGGTTGACGAGCCTCTCGAAATCACTGCCTTGTTACCGGGATTGCCTTTGGGGCTCTGCAGAAAGAGCCCACATCATCTTCAGATTGCTGGGTCTTCACCGCCCACGCTAGCACACTTTTGGTGTGATCATGGTGGGTGGGAAACCCAGGACACTGTGATCTTGCAGTCACTTGGCTATCTGGCAGTGCTTTCTCAGGTGACAGAGGGACTGGGTCTCTGTGCTGCCCAACATGGTAGCCACAAGCAACTGCTGAGACCTTGAAATGTGGGCATAAATTTTAATGCTAGTTCATTCAATATTTTTAAGTTTAATTCATGTATGTGTGGTACATGTGTGTGCATGCGTGAATGCATTTGTGTGCCTGTGTGTGTGTGTCTGTGTGTGTGTCTGTGTGTGTGTGTAGGCCAAAGGTGATGGAAGGCGTCTTTCCCTATAACTTTCCAACTTACTTTCTGAGACAGTATCTCTCTCTAAACCCAGAACTTGCCAATTAGGTAGATTGGCTAGCCAGCAAAGCCAGGGATCCTTCTGTCTGCCTCACAGTGCTGTGACTAAAGGTGCATGCTGCCTCAGTTAGCTTTTATGTGGGTGCTGGAGACTTGAACTCTGGTCTCCATTCTTGAGTAGCAAGCATTTTACCCACTAGACTACCTTCTCCTCCTCCTCCTCCTCTTCTTCCTTCTCCTCCTCCTCCCCTTCTCCTTCTCCTTCTCCTCCTCCTCCTCCTCTTCCTCCTCCTCCTCCTCTTCTTCCTTCTCCTCCTCCTCCCCTTCTCCTTCTCCTCCTCCTTCTCCTCCTCTTCCTCCTCCTCATTCTTCTCCTCCTCTTCTTCCTCCTCCTCCTCCTCCTCCTCCTCCTCCTCCTCTTTTTCCTCTTCTTCCTCCTTCTTTTCAGACAGAGTCTCATGCATCCCAGGAGGGCATCTGACTTAATACATAGTTGAACATGACCTTGAGATCCTGACTATTTTTTGTCTCGACTTCCATATGCTAGGATTGCATGTGTGTGCCACTATGCTTGGCTTAATTTTAGTTCATTTAAATGAAAATGCTCATTTGTGATACTTGGACTCCTTGATATAGCTATGGAAGTCTGTGTTCACTTGTATGGGTGTCCCCAAAGTCCCATGTCTTCAATGTTTCTTTGCAGTGGTGAGAAAGAGTCTATTTCCCACCTCCTGGCCAATAGCAAGTGGGGTGGTGCCATGGCTGTTCTGATCCAGCCTTCTTTGGGTCATCATGCAAGCATAGTTGGGCCAGCCTATGGAAAGATGAGTCATGGGTAACAGATGAGAGTCATTAAAGTTGTCCTAGCCTACACCATTGTGGTTCAGCCAACAGTTCCCAGCTAAGTTCTGACCTACAGCTGGCTGAGGACACGGAAGAGAGGCCAGTCCAGACTAAGAAGGAAGATGGCTCAGCTGATTCACATACCCACACTAAGGAAAGATTACAAATTCCTAACCCTGGTCTATTTGTTACAAGGTATTGTTACAGAAATCCACAGGTAATGCACTAACAGTGTTTGTTTTGTGAGGTGGGCGTGGCTATAGACAGTATAGAGCTTGCTGCCTGAGAGGCATAGGAGAAAGTGTGTCAATCATACTGAGTGCTGCTGCATGTGAAGAACAGGAGTGAGGGAAGGTTGAGTATTGGAGCAATCGCTTGCTTTATTCTTATTTTTCCTTACTTTCTTCTGGGTGTGTGCTTGTGTGTTTCTCTATGTGTGCGTTTTGGGATGAGTTTTCGGATATGGGAGTGTTGGTGAGTGTGTGCATAGTGTACCTGTGGAAGTCAGCCTTGGGCACTGTGGTGGTGTGAATATGCTTGACCTATGGAAGTGGCACTATTCGGTGGTGAGACCTTATTGGAGGAGGTGTGGCCTTGTTAGAGGAAGTGCGTCACTGTGGAGGTGGGGCTCTGAGTTCTCATACACATGCTCAAGTCTGTTCAGTGTAACACAGTTCCCTTCTGCTGCTTGAGGATCAAGATGGAGAACTCTTGGCTCCTCCAGTACCAAGTCTGCTTGCATGCTGCTGCACTTCCCACCATGATGATAACAGACTGAACCTCTGAAACTGTAAGCCAGCCCCAATTGCCTTACTCATAGTATCATGGTATCATGGTATCTCTTCACAGCAATAAAACTCTAAGACAGGGTTGCCTTTTATTTGAGATGAGGCCTCCCTTTGGCCTGAAACTTTGTCAGTTAGGCTAGGATAGTCGGCCTGTGAGCCTCCAGGATCCATCTTTCCTCTCACCACTGCTAGGGATTGTAAGCAGATGTTACAGTGCAGGCTTGAGATCCAAACTCAGCCTTCATGGTTGTGAGACAAGAGATTTTCCCACTGAGCCATCTCCACTAAGGGTTCCTGTTGTCTGATTCAACCCTCTGCTCTGCTGAGTGCTGCCAGAGCCTTCCCAAGCCTCCACAATGCCTCCATGGTGGCTCTACAGGAACCTCTTCACTGTAGTCATACTGGATGCCTCCTTATTAGCCATAGGCACTTAATGCTAAACTCAAACTTTTTACCTGGATTGCAAAGCTGTCTTTCTCAGATTGTTTTCTTCCCCTAAGCCCAAACCTACCACTTTCTGGCCACTGGTACCTTATTTTGGGCTCCTGGGTGTGCTGAGTTCAGATGTACCTCAGGACCTTTCCACAGGATATTCTCTCTGCTGGGGATGCTCTTCTCCTCTTGTGAGTATATGGTGAGCGATACCTTGTCTTTATACTTAATGAGAACTATCTCACAACTCAGCATCTGTTCTTATTGATGATCTCTCTCTGTGTCTCTTTTTTTTGTCTTTCTCTCTGTGTATGTGTGTGTGCAAGCATGCACATGTGCACACTTAGGAACTGTGTGTCTTCACACTAGCATGTGAAGATAAGGACCTTGGGGTCAGATCTGTCTGGGTTAGAGGTGAATGTTCCATGCCTAACAAAGAGCCTGGTACACAATAGGTATTCAAGCAGTGTTTGCTGATGAGTGGTAACCTAGGGTCCTCTCTAGCTGAGGACCATGTAACTCCAGGTGCAACACAAGGCCCTCTGCCCCTGATGCTCACATCCCTCCATCTTTAGGAAATGACAACAGCAGCTTCACCAAGAAAAGGGAAATAGGCAAGAGGCTGTGTAATAATTTATAGAATTCACTCGGAACATTTGTTTGCCCCAAGGTATGCTTTTCCCACCCCTTATTTAAATAAGGTGAGCTTTGAAAAAAAATTGAGCAACATACAGTTTTGGGTTTCTAACTGCTTTGAAAAAGCAGGTGTTTTGGCAGTCAACTCCAAGTTGACATCTTAACCACATTGGGCAAGAGTTGAACCAGGTAGCACATGTGGTCTAGGCTGGTATGCGCAGCGCCTCGTGCAGGTGCAGAGCTCATCCTGACTTGCAGGTGTGTGAAGCTCAGGTGCTCTCGGTTGGTGTGCAATGCCCCCAGTGGGACTCATGCTAATTCACAAGTAGTATTATTTGCTAGGGTCTGAGTTAAGGTTTTGTAGTTAACATATTGGCATCTCAATCCCTGCATGGTGGATCGGAAGTAGCTTCTATTTTCTTGTTCTCCTATGTTGGAATCTGCTATAGCAAACATTTTTGCAAAAGCACATGCATTACTTTATAATGAGAGACTGAATCAATAAGCACCGTTTTATGAAAGGTTGCACCACAGCCTGGAACTACACAGAGTGCATGAACTGCCCCGATCAGATGAAAGGCATTTGCTATTTCCCTAGATGCCCCACGGGTAGCAATTCATTTTACTCTGCCTTTTTTGGGATAAGGGTCCTTTGTCCTGATTTATTCTCAGCCTCCGATTCATAAATACATGGGTTTGCCCATGGCAAAGCACAATAGCTCCATCAAAATAAAAAATGAAGGAGAAAAGTCAAAGGATTCTGGGCCTTCGGCAACTAGATGGCCTGCTTCATTCCAAAGCAAGTACCAGGAGAAAGTTTCAACAACCCTTAATAAATCGGGAGTGTCTTTTGGAATTTCCTATACGATCATTTATTTTACAGGTTCTAGGAGGCTCATGAGTAAGCTGGAAGGACAGCTGCTGGCCAAGTTTAGGACATTGTGCTGTACATTGGGTAGACTGTCAGTGGTTCCAAGATTGATACTCTTCTCACAGACTAGACAGGGGGAAAGACACTCACTGACATTGATACTAGGTGGTACAGCCACATGTGATGGGCCTGTTGGAGGTGATGTTCCTTAGGCTTGGAAGAGAGGTGGCAGTGGCAGGACTCTCTGACCCCAGAGAGATTAAGTGATAGCTCATTTAGTAAAAGTGCTTGCCATGTAACTGTGAAGATCTGAGTTCAGGTCCCAGTACCCACATAAAAAGCAAGAACTGTGGCATGTGCCTGTATTGCCAGCACTGAGGGAGGTAGAGAGAGGAGGACCTCTGGGGTTGCTGGACAGTCTTGCTGAATCAGTCAGTGCTGAGTTCAATGAGAGACTATCTAAATCACACACACACACACACACACACACACACACGCACAAGCACACGCACACGCACACACAGTGGGCTGCAAAGGTGGCTCAGCAGTAAGGGCTTACAAGATGTTCTTGTAGATGATGCTAGTTCAGTTCCCAGAATGGGTAGCTCAGTCCTTCCTGTAACTCCAGCTCCAGGACACCGGATGCTTTCTTCTGACCTCCATGGTTATCCATACTCTCACACTCATACCTCCATGCCCACCCAAAGACACATGTGCGTATACATATACACACTTTTAAAAGAAATGTGCTAGAAAGTGAGGTGATGGGTGGTGGAGGAGGGCACGTGACATTGGTCTGTGGCATCCACAGTTACATGAATGTGCGCACATGCACACACTATAACACATGCAAGCTTCTGACTGGGTAAGACTTGACGGCCCTAATGACTAGGAAAGCCAGACTGTGCAGTGATGGGACAGTAAATAAAGAGCCACAATGAGACAGCAATTAGAGGGCCAGCTAACCACTTACTATCTCAACCAGAATGCTCACTGCTAACCATTGTGATAGCTTATCCAGGGCCACTAGGATACCAGAATTATGTGCAAGCTACTGAACACTCAGCATGTAAAGTCCTAGTCAAGTGAGAATAATAATATACACTCAAGAGGTGGCCTGGGAGCACACCTTTTCATCTTATATATGAAGAAACTGAGGGTCGGAGGATCAGATTTTCCCCAAGGTTAGATATAAGATTGCACATCTGTGATCTTGGCATGTGGGAGCTGAGACTGGAGGATCACCATGAGCTTAAGGTCAGTCTGGGTGATATAGTATGATACTGTTTGCAAAATAACAACGACAATAACAACAAAACCAAGGAAGACAGACCAAAGAGAAAGAAAGGAAGAAAGAAAGAAAGAAAGAAAGAAAGAAAGAAAGAAAGAAGAAAAGAAGGAAGGAAAGAAGGAAGGGAGGGAGAGTGCATGTTAGTAGTATAAGCAAAGACTATGAGTAAGGCCAACATCACAGCTTGTGTTTGGAGGATAAAGGTAAGATAAGAAGCAGAGTGCTAGCATAGAGACTCACGTGCTGATCAGGAGGAGCGGGGAGAGGAGAGCATGACATTAGCACCCTGTTCTGCCAGGGACCCAGCCCAGCACCTGGCTCACCTGCAACTGTTCTCCCCATCCGTGTGTAGCGATGACTCAGCCCTTCGAAGACCCAGGCGGATGAAGGAATGGTACAGAGTGAGGGCCACATCGCTGAGGCTGTGGATACCATCTGGTTCATCATACACATTCTCCCAGTAGGAGCGGAGGCCTGGGGTCCCCGCAGGATAGTTCCCGTACAAGTAAGAATCTAGCTGCCCAATGATTTCCTGGTTCACTATGGCTTCGAACTTTCGGGCAAAGAAGGTGGGCCGAGCTGTCTGCTGTGCTCAGGAGAGAAAAAAAATGTAAGTTTTATTATCAAGTAGTGGTGGCTATCTTCATCCTATATCTTACAAGAAGAGGCAAGCCACTGCAGTAAACCTGCCAGCTTTAAACTCCAGCCCTGGGACTCCATGACCTGTTTTCAACTTTATCCTCTATAAAATGGGTCATACTGAGAGTGGATGACATTAGTATCTGTAAGGCATCAAAGCGTGGTGGGCATTTAGGTAGCACCACTCAAATGACCCTGAAATAAATTGAACCGTGGGTGTTCAGTGCTAGTGTTTGCTCCCAGCTTTTTAGTGAAGGTCACCGAGGAGCATCCCAGGACGGATTTATTTTAGTTGGCTGGGTGAATGCTTTAAAATCAAATTCACTGGCAATGTTTACAAAGTGGAAGATTCAAGGAAACAACTGTGGCTTCCTCTTAAATAGTGACTGCTGTGGGAAACCCGGGTCGCATTCTGAGGTGGCAATGGTAGGTAAACAGGAATAGAAGCCCATCCGTTTGGACAAAACATGGGTTCTTCTTCCTGCCATTGCCCTAGTGTCCTCTAGCATCTTAGATGATTTGTGGATTCACAGGGGACACTCCATAGGACAATAGTTCATACTTTCTAGGAGTTAGGAGTATGGCATTCTGCACTTGGTAGTGTTCCAAATGGCTCAAAAGAAAAACACACTCACTCACATACGGGACTCCACCTTGTCAATGACACTTCCTCTCTTTTATCCAGATATTATCCTTTGTCTCAGTTAATCTGGAATTTCAGGACTACAGATCTGCTAGATAACCATTTTCCAATAGAAATAAAAAGTTCCTTTCAACCAGCAGCTATTTTCTCAGAGCCAATGAGACTCCATACAACCCATCCCAGGGTAGTGATTGACTGGACCGTGGTCTGAGCAAGACTTCCGACATGCAAACCCACAGCCCTTGCCTTTTCTCTACTCAGTCAACAACCCTGGGGGTGACGTTCAGAAATGTCAATCCCAAATGAAGCTCCTGGTTGATTTTGTTTGCCGTGTGAAATGAGAACACATGGAAGAGGGTCCAGAGGGAGAAGGATTTGTTCACAGATAGACAGCAAATCAGTGGCTGATCCAGGGTGAAATCAGGGTTGGAAGTCAAAGAGACGATATATCATGACTAGGGGAGACAGCTCAGCTAGGGAAGAGTTTGCTCTGCAAGACAGAGGGCCTGAGTTGGATCTCTGGACCTGTGCAAATATAGCGGGCAAGTGATGTATGTCTGTAATCCCAGGGCTATAGAAGCAGAGACGGGTAGATCCTTGGGGCTTGCTGGCCAGCCAGCCTAGCCAAATCTGGAAATTCTGGGTAAACCCAGTAAACTGAGAGACCCTGCTTCATGGAGAGCATTGTTAAAATATCTCCTCTAGGGAGACTTAAATAATATCTATTCTGTCTTCATAAGACCACAATGTCAAACCAAAGTTCAGCTAAAGCAATGCTTGCCGTGGGGAAGAATTTCTTAGGCTTACTTACAGAACATGGGTGACAGGTTATAGGCAGAAGTGTGGATGACCATAGAGCACCTAGAAGGTCTGCACCAAGCAGAGCTGATGGCTCCATAGCTGCACACATAGAGCCTCTTCTTGTCAAACTTCCCCAGCCTGTATACTCTGTCCCCTTCCTGAGAACCCTGGGGCCATAAGCAACTAGGACAGGGCAGTAGGCTAGATAGTCAGGTGATAGTTCAATTGTGCTGCTGACCCCTCCTGGGCAGTAATGTCAACAGTCCACAGACCACACCCTGGTAGACTTTTGCAAGTAGGCTTAGCTGATCTCATGAAGATGGAGGCTGTTTGGCCTAGAGGACTGAGTTCTATAGCAGACTGTCCAGAGAAACAACAGATGAAGCTGGTTTCTATGTACACACACACACACACACACACCCCACATGCAAGTACATTCATTCACACAATGTACAGATTCAAAAAACATGAGACAGCTGCCATCTGTAAGCATTATGCTGTTTCTAAGGCAGGGCTTCACAAACATCCTCAGCAGAGGACCAAACAGTAAATATGTGAAGCACCGAAACTTCTCAACTCTAAAGCAAGGATATATCCGGAGACAAAATAGTAAATGAGCTACAGAGGCTGAGTTCCAACAGAGCTTCATTTATAAGAGTAGGCTGGGCTGACTCTGGTCAGGGAGCTGTGGTATGCTGACCCACAGCCCAGGACTGTACAAAGAGATAAAGCCCAGCATCATCCCTTGAGGAGTTCATTCTGGCCGACTGTTGCTGCGGATCAGATACCGTGGGCCCTTCCAAGGACTGAAAGCTGCAGTTCTGACACCGATAGCACAGAGAATAACAAAGGGCATCATGAATCTCAACACCTAAGCTTCTGGAAACTCTGCCAGGCAGGGTTGTCACTCCCCTTCTGCAGACGAGGACATTTATCTCTCAGGAAATCAACACTCAGGAAATGGTCACAGCCTAACACTTGCACCAAACCCCACAGCTCCAAACCCTAAGCTCTTTCTACCACACACCTCTAGGATAGATAGTGAGTGAGCAGGAAGTCCTTCAGAGAAACATCCTGAAGTCGTGTGGAACACACCATCCCCTACACTTCCTGAGACCTTGGTGTCTGTTTGGAGAGGGGTTGGACAGCAATAGGGAGTAGGCCCACTTGCATCCACAGCCTCTGCTATTTCCTAGGTGTGTGTGTCTTTAGGTGCGTTGTCCAACTGCTCCAACCTCTATTACCCTGCCTTTGAAATAGGTACAGGCATGAGTTACTTGCATGCATTCTCAGTAGCTGTTAAGGGATCCACCATTGCCACTTAATTTGGCTATCGGGTTCCCTATTGATCCACAGGTTGTCAATTTTTAGGGTCAGGAAATCTGCCTCATTAGCAAGATGGCTGTTACTTCCATCTGCTATTCTCTGACCATGGAATAATCTTCTAGAAGTGTATACTTCTTTATGAAGAATTTATGTGTATAAGTGCATGTGTGTGTATGTGTGTGAATGCCACATGCATATAAGTTCCCAAAGAGGCCAGAATAGGGTCTTTGATCTCCTGAAGCTGAAGTTACAGCTGGATGTGAGCCATCTGAAGTTGGGTCCTCCAGAAGAGCAAGAAGCACTCTTAATGGCCAAGCCATCTATCTCTCTAGCCCCAAGGTTATGCATCTATTTTTATCATTCTCTTCCATAGAGCTCTTTAGAAAAAGAACTTCTATTCTTTTTTGCTTCTTCAGTTATATGAGTCTAGATGTTGAAGGATAGCCTTGATCTTTACTTATTGCAAAAGAAAGTTGTGTGCACACAGTTCATTCTCTAAGTTAGCATGGCTTCATTGGAGACCATGATGTCCCCAGGACATGGGGCTGCTATACAGATGACACATCCAGGAACACCCTGAGGGGAGCAACACTCCCAAGAATCAGCATACCAAGGCTCTGGTCTGCTGTTTCTAAATGCTGAAGGTCTGTAGCAAGGGCAGGGATCTTCCTAGACAGAGACACAGGTCACTTTTTTTTTTTTTAGATACATGAGGCATTTTCCCTTTGCAGCCTTCTTTCTCTGTGCATCCTTTCCATGAGGGAAGAGTCCCAAACCACTCAAGTCTATACTTAAGTTAACATGGGTCGGGGCTGGAGAGATGGCTCAGTGGTTAAGAGCACTGACTGCACTTCCAGAGGTTCTGAGTTCAAATCCCAGCAACCACATGGTGGCTCACAACCATCTGTAATGAGATCTGATGCCCTCTTCTGGTGTGTCTGACGACAGCTACAGTGTATTCATATATAATAAATAAATAAATCTTTAAAAAAAAAAAAGTTAACATGGGTCTGAGGGTCCCCTGGCAGCTCTCAGTGCACCACTAAATATAGGCAGATAAAGATGCTGAGTGGGAAGATTGGGAAGTATAGATGACAACAGAAAAATGGCTGCTTGTTGTGTGTCCAGAGAAGCACAGAACTAATGATGACTATTGGTAAAATTCATTCCCACATACTCATCTGTCCTTAGCCCTAAGAAATTCATTAGCTTCATGGACATAGAAAAGTGATTTGAATCCCTTTGTGGGTTCAGTTTTTCCACCTACAGAGCAGATGATGTCCAACCCAGCAAGGCCAATGATTACAGAGGCTCAGGCTCATGGCTGGTAAAGAGTAGATCCAACAAGACAGAATCTCAGTTTATGGAGACCTTATAAGCAGTCCCTGCTTGATGCTGACTTGTAGCTGTGGAGGAGGCTGAGGATCTGCATCTTAGACAAGCCTCCTGGTGATGGAGATACTGCATGCATGTGACAATGTTCCATGGGACCAGGATAAGAGACCTGGAGCTCCCCAAAGGCAATTTTGACTCTACGCCATCACAGTGAGGATGTCTTGTGACGTCACCTAGCTTGTGATGTGGCTCTTGCCATCTTTCTGAGAAGCAGAATGTCATCTCCATGTGATGACTATAGTAACCCCCACCTGATCTATTTAAACATTTAATGAGATTTTGTTTCGATTCTGCTAAAAAAGAGGAAGAAACTTGGAGCCCTGCTCCTTCCAGGCACCACACTGTCCTGGGGCAGCATATAGACTGAGGAGATTCCATCTAGAGCAGAACCTGGGGGGTCAAGGCACCCTCAGGGCTTGTGGCAAGCAGGTGAGCATTTCCTACTTGATTTCTCCACATTGTTCAGAACAAAATAGCAAAAGGCTGGTCAGAGACGTCACCGCCTATTACTTCTTCAAGTGTATAGAACATGGTGGTCTCCCAACCTGGATACTCCTTAAGTTTTTCCAAACTGAACTTTAAAAATACAATGATATTCTAGACTTTGCTGGAGATCAGTGGTTTCCAAGAAGGGGCAAGTTTGAACCTAAGCCACATCTTGGGGATGCTATGAGATACCTTTGAAAGTTGACGGGTGTAACCACAATCTAATGAGTAGAACACAGAGGTGGTCTCCACCAACACAGTGACCCAATCACAATGTCAGGAGTGCTGGGGTTTAAAAAAACCACCCTGCCCTCAAGATAGTCAAGCACATGCCCAGAAAAACGCTTTTAACAAATATTCCAGGGGATTGTGACTGAGAGGTGATGTCGAGGAGATGCTGAGAATGCCATTGGAAATGGGTGCCTCGAGTTCCACTATCTTTCATTGAATGTGTGCACAGCCATGAGTCAGTCTCTGTCTCTGCCTCTCTCTCCCTCTGTGTGTGTGTGTAGCGTTTGTCTGCATTTGCATGTATGTGTGCAGGTGTAAACACTTGTGCATGTAGATATGGAGCTTCGAAGAAGATATTGAGTATCCCTCCTATGCCACTAGGGTTTCCTGCCTTGAGACAGGTGTTTCACTGAACCTGAAGTTTGCCATTTCCTGCTACTCTGCTGGTCACCACACCTCATGATGACTCTTCCTGTCTCTCTATTCCTCAGCACTGTGGTTAAAGACACATAACCATTCAAGGCTCCTACAATGGGTGCTGTGAATCCAAAGTCAGGTCCTTGTGCTTGTGGTGCATCTCTCACTCTTCCCCACTGAGCCATCTCTTTAGCCTGAGGTGTGTGATCATGAACAAAGTTTTAGAACCTTCCGCACCTTGGTTTCTTTATCACTAAGATGGAAGGATCATAATAACAGCAACACACATATGGCAGGGCTGGGGCGGGTTAATGAGCCAATCTGGGGAGGATAGTTCAGCCATCCATCATGGGATATATGCTTGCTAACTCTGGTTATAGGTAGACTGGGCACTAAGTAGAAGATGGCCCATAGGTCTGGCCTTAAGGGCTTGCAGTGGCTTTCAGGGAAGGTGTGGTGGGGCAAGTGGGCTCACCTGGAAGCGATGGAAGTCCTGAGGCTTGAAGTCATTGGGAGAGCAGCCGCACCAGTCCACGATATGCTTGTACTGGCACTTGCAGCCCAGCTTGCGGTTCCAGTTGGTGATGCGCAGGTTGTTATCCACCATGGTGTCGCAGTGGGGGCTGTTCTCCAGGACCGTGTGGAAAAAGGACTGCAGGGGAGAAAATGGTTACTGAGAACCCAGTAACACAACCAAGTATGTCAGATTGGCATGTGCTTCCTGAGGATCATCAAGCACAAAGAGCTCCCAGGACACCAATATTAAGTCACTCAGTGGGCACTCAGTGTCAGCTGCCAGGCCAGTCCACTCAGGGTACAGATGTCTATTCAATCTTCACTGACTAATTCTACCTTTAAATCCATTGCCTTAAACATCCCTTCACTAGTACCTAAGATCTGATATGAAGATACCTGTCTATTATCTCCTAGGACATCTGTTGTCTGTTTAACCAATAGGGAGAGTTTCTGAGGATGTGTCAATAGATGGGATCAGGGGCAAACACGGGGGACAGCTTCCCCAGGAAACTATAGGCTGTAAGGATTCTTGCTTCCCAAAAGCCAGACTGGAAACCAACAGGTTAGGTCTGATAGAGATTTGCAACCATATCCAATGAGCTGGGATTTCACCTCTGGATGAGGAGGGCCAGGCTCATGAGGTCATCTATACACTGCAACTACAGTGCAGGGAAGGGCAGGGTGACAAACCAAGACCGATCACTTTCACTACAACACAAGAAAAGGTGGGTGAGAGAGATGCTGCCATTGGTAGTGCTGGTACCAGGAACCACTGCACTAAGGCAGTGTGGCTAGAGCTGGAGTTGGGGCTGTGCGTGCTGTCCATGGTGCTTATTCAGGAACCGCTGAACTCACAACCAGGTTAAATGGGAATTGGGGGTGGGGGCGTGAGTTGTCTCCTGTCCATGGTACTGAACCAGGAGCCCATATAACACAAGGTGGGCTGCGTGCTTTCTGTGGTAATGAACCAGGACCCAAGGTCTTTTGCTAATTGTAGCACTCTTGGTCATTTCTTCCAAGGACTCTAATAGAAAGGTAATGCCTGGAGGAAAAGGAGACAGGGTGCTTGGCTAGAGCCACTGAGATGCTAAGAGAGAGAAAGGAAAAAGATTTCTGTTTCAACACATTTTATAACAATTTCTGCCAACCAGAGAATACATTTTCTTCTGGGTTCTGGTCCCCTAGGGGAAGCTGTTGGGGGATATGTGTCTGACTGGAAGATTTATGGATACAGCCTTTAGATTTCTTCTAAGCCCTGGCGTTGTCTCGGAAAAAACAAGCAGGCAGACACAGCACAATGGAGGAAGAGGGTCTCAGTTAGAGGGACTGGTGCTGAGGCAGGGGTCTTAGTGCTGAGGCAGGGGTGGGGAAGTGAGTGCATTGGGTACCTGTGGCATGGCTGGCATACCGCTGAGAACCTCAGAACTCCTGGAGACTCTCCTCTAAATGGGTGGATGGGCAGAATGAAGCACCACCTGCCACTCAAGGCCACTCACTTGCCTTCCTGTGATGCTAATGACATTGTCAGGGGACCTGAATTTAAACTTGAATTGTCTACAAGCTCACAGATGCACCTCTCTTCCATCAAGCAGTGGGGAAAAGTACCCAATTACCAATTGCCCTGTGTCCTTTATAACGATGCAAAAATTCCCTGCAAGATAATGGATGAGGAGGTTATCAGAATGGAGAGAAAAGGTGATTTTCACTGAAATAGGATTAAAAGCTGATGACTTAACATGTGTGCAGAATAGTAAAATCTGACTCTGGGAGGTTGGGCTTCTCACAGTGAGGTGTGTGGATAGCTAGGCCTCTTGGAAGCTGGCCCCTGGGCTGATAATTCACGGGAACCATCCACAGAGATGCATGGTCTGTTCCAGGCTGTGTGAACAGAGCTTGAGGCTCAGCAGGGGTGAAGCAGAGAACCACACATGAGCAATGCATCAGGCTTCTTGGAAACAGAACAAACACTGTTGTTTTCCTGGGGTTAGAAGTTAGGATAAAATTGGGCTGGAGGTCAAGAAGATGAAGATAGAAGCTCTCAGCTCAGATCTGAGAGAAGGCAACGTCTAGCATGTGGCCAGCAGCAAATCAGGATGTACCAGGCTGTTTTTGAAAAGTCTGGAGCCTTATACAATGGGGGCTGCACCTTGATGTCACAGAAAACTCAGGGGCTTGTTTCCCATGCTCCACAGGAAGGGCTGAGCCATCATGGCTGGCAATGGAGAGGGCCGGTGAAAGAGATCCCATTTGGCTGTCTTGGGGCAATTTTGGATTAGGGATGTGTGTGTGTGTGTGTGTGTGTGTGCAATGAAGACAGCACTATCAGGGATTGACAGGAGCGACAGAACTGTATTCAAATGAGAAAAGGGATTACTGGTGCTGAAAACGGTTATTACTTTACTGCATGATTGATGACTGGAAGTGTGATGTGGCTGTGTCCTGCAACTGTTAGCATGCACCGCACAGTTCCAGGGTGTTGTCAACAGTCAGAGGGCCTGCAATTCTAACGCTTTTTTATTTTTTGCTGCTGCAAATAGCAGTAATATCTTTTTCTAAAAAAATCAGAATATTGGATTTTTTTTTCTATAATGAATAGGAGCTGAGTGCTTTGAACAAGGGCTGTTTATTTTTTGTTTTTGTCTTTGTTTGTACTTTGCACTCACAGAGACCATGCAGGCTGAGGGTAGCATCCTCATGTGTACTACAGTTCTTGCTATGAGGTCAAGGTCTGCAGGGATCTCCAGCACTGTCTGGTAGTTTGGAGGACAGGGTCACATTGCCAAACGTTCACTATCTGCTAAGGCTACACCTAGCTCTTGTTCTCTTTCCTGCCCTGAATCTTTCCTGGAACTCACCTCAGCAGGGAGGAGGGTATAAGAGTAGAACTGCTTCATCTTGGTCACCAGGTCATCCGTAGAGAATGCCACATACTCTACGAACTTCCGGTTTAGCAGGAACCAATCAGAGCCGCCATCCACAGCAATGCCCTCTGGGATCCGCCGGTCCCCCAGGCGCCACATGTGTGTATCACACTCCAGGAAGAGACGGTCCAGGCCCTGCTTCCGGATGAACCTGGGTGAAACAAATTGGCCTTGAGGACCTGGTTAAGAGAGATCTTCCCAGAGCTTCAAGACAGTATTCTGGTAGCCACTACATTTACTGAGCACTTCCTGTGTGCTCCTCTGAGCTGGAGATGTCATGCTGAGTCTACCTCTTGTTCCTCTGGAGTGAGGCAGGGCATAGCACCTATGGGGCAGAAATCACTCTTGCCCTATTGGACAGAACCAGTGAGCCTCGAGCAGCTACCCAGCAACTCCAGCCTTGTCTCTACTTTTCTAGAAATATCTCCCAATAGCCTTTTAGAGGTTGCTGTGGTAGTTTGATGAATGAATGCAGATCAAGGGTCCTCATCTTAGGACAGTGCTATGAAATTCTTTCACACACAAAGACACACACGCATACACATACACACACACAGAGACATACATACAGAGAGAGAGAAACACAGAAACATACACACACACACACAGACATACATACAGAGAGAGACACAGAATCACACACACACACACACACACACACACACACACGCACTGACATAACTCAGTACACAGTTGTTAGAAATGCTTGCATAACATGCATGAAGCACTGGGATTCAATCTCTAGTATCACAGAAACCCGACTGGCATGGTGGCACATGCCTATCTTCTTAGCCCTCAGGAAATGGAGGCAGGAGGAACACACACACCCCAAATTCATATTCCTGGATGCCTGCATGTTGGGTGTGTCCTTGGGATGTAAGCTCCATATGGATTCCTAGCTCATTACAGTAAGGACCATCCTTCCTTCTCCTTAATCCCCATGAGCATCTGGAACAATGCTTAGCACATGGTAGGTGTTCAATGAAGACTTTTGTGAATAAACCAAAAGTTCAGGAGAAACCTTGCTTATAGCTCTGCTATAAAATCCAGAACAAATCCATGATGCATTAGTATTAATGTGTATATTTTTTTAATTAGATATTTTATTTACATTTTAGATGTTATCCCCTTACCTGATTCTTCCCCCCACCCCGGAACTCCCTATCCCATCACCCCTCCCCCTGCTTCTCTGCAGATGTGCCCCTACCTACCCCCTCCCACCTCCCCACCCTCGAATTCTTCCACACACAGCATCCAGCCTTCATGGGACCAAGGATCTCCTCTCCCACCTATGCCCGACAGGGACAACCTCCCTTACATATACAGCTGGAGCCATGGAACCCTTCCTAAGTGCTCCCAGTCTGGTGGTTTAGACCCTGGGAGCCCTGGTTGGTTAATATTGTTGCTCTCCTCATGGGGCCACAAACCCTTTCCGCTCCTTCAGTCTTCACTCTAACTAAGATCTGTATGACAAGAACTTCAAGTCTCTAAAGAAAGAAATCGAAGAAGATCTCAGAAGATGGAAAGATCTCCCATGCTCATGGATTGGCAGGCCATCTTGCCAAAAGCAATCTACAGATTCAATGCAATCCCCATTAAAATCCCAACCCAATTCTTCACAGAGTTAGAAAGAGAAATTCTCAAATTCATTTGGAATAACAAAAAACCCAGGATAGCGAAAACTATTCTCAACAATAAAAGAACTTCTGGAGGAACCACCATCCCTGAGCTCAAGCTGTACTACAGAGCAATAGTGATAAAAACTGCATGGTATTGGTACAGAGACAGGCAGGAAGATCAATGGAATAGAATTGAAGACCCAGAAATGAACCCACACACCTATGGTCACTTGATCTTTGACAAAGGAGCTAAAACTGTCCAGTGGAAAAAGGACAGCATTTTCAACAAATGGTGCTGGTTCAACTGGAGGACAACATGTAGAAGAATGCAAATCAATCCATTCTTATCTCCTTGTACAAAGCTCAAGTCTAAGTGGATAAAGGACCTGCATATAAAACCAGATACACTGAAACTAATAGAAGAGAAGGTGGGGAAGAACCTCGAATACTTGGGCACAGGGGAAAAGTTTCTGAACAGAACACCAATGGCTTATGCTCTAAGATCAAGAATTGACAAATGGGACTTCATAAAATTGCAAAGTTTTTTTTTTCTCAACTCGGCACTTGAGTTGAGCATGCTTGCCAAATACCCCACCACTGAGCTGTAGTCTCTGTTCATAGCTGCTTCTCAATTCACACATTCTACATGGGTTTGTAAAGTATTTTGAAAAATATTACAAATTAGGATCTTTGGGGAATTTCATTAACACATTAAATGACAAGATGTGGTGACATTCTGCCATGTCTAACAATTACTTTTGTGGAATTAGAGGACATAGATTATGCCTTGAGGCATGTACCCCAACTATAGCATGATAGGAGAGCTTGTCATTCCAGTCTGTGGCTAATTCAGTGACCACTGGTGTGGACATGGCTTGATACGTACATGATCTCAGGCTGTATTTGCTGGAAATAAATGAAAGGACCTTCCCACACAGACACAAAATTGATACCCCTGGCTTTTTTTGTAATAGAACACACACACACACACACACACACACACACACACACACACACACACA